TTAAGGTCTCTCTCCCTTGCCAGTTATATCAGGGCAGTTTTCTCTACTTCATCATTGGCATGTAACACTATGTCTGGCACCAAGAAGATTTTCAATAAAAATGCATTGAATATTTATGCATATGGGAGATCTCATGTGACTAATCAAAGGCCATACTGTGTTACAACCATCCTAATCTGTCTCCAAAACCTGTCTGTGATCTCTATTCTACCCCACCAAGTGCTTTCATGTTATCTCACTTCTAAATGTCCAGGTTCAATGTCCTTGTCCCTCAGCTGCTTGTAAGCATACATGCACCCCACCTACCAAGAACTCACTTATTCAGGGAAAGCTAGTGAGAAAGTAGAAAAAAGAAACAGCCCATTTGGGATTGTGCCCTCTTCCTACCCTCTTCAAGGCAGCATTTCTCCTCCTTCAAGAAGCCTTTACAGACAGCTCCACCTGTCCATCTGCTTCCCTTTCCTCTGGCCCTTCCTATACTTGTGCCACAAAAGTGTTTCCAAGTTACCTGGAGTCTGATCGTTCTACACATATTAGTACTTTATTAAAGCAATTTAACTCTATGGATGTTTAGTGAAGGCAAATGTGTGCTCAGGCCTGCCTCTGTCAGGCCTACTGGGTCGACACAGAAATGAATCAGACGAAACCTCAAAGGACTTATAGTCAGTGGGGAAGACAGATATTAGGCACAGATGCAATTTACTAGAGCACAAAGCATGATGACCTAAATGGTATTAAAGAAGTATGAACAACATGCTATGTGCATAAACCTTAATTATTATTGTGAAGAGTGTATCATAGAAGATCAGACCTCAAAGGTATCATCTAGTTCAACCTCTGTTTTCCAGTGGAAGAGTTTGAGACACAGAGAAGGGTGGGGCCTAGCCTAAAATCTCAGCCTGTCTGTCTGAGCCAAGACAGACTTCAAGTTGTTTTTTGTTGTTTTGTTTTTGTTTTTGTTTTTTTGTTTTTTTGTGTTTTTTTTTTGAGACGGAGTCTCGCTTTGTCGCCCAGGCTGGAGTGCAGTGGCCGGATCTCAGCTCACTGCAAGCTCCGCCTCCCGGGTTCACGCCATTCTCCTGCCTCAGCCTCCCGAGTAGCTGGGACTACAGGCGCCCGCCACCTCGCCCGGCTAGTTTTTTGTATTTTTTAGTAGAGATGGGGTTTCACCGTGTTAGCCAGGATGGTCTCGATCTCCTGACCTCGTGATCCGCCCATCTCGGCCTCCCAAAGTGCTGGGATTACAGGCTTGAGCCACCGTGCCCGGCCTTGTTTTTTTTTTTTTTTTTTTTTTTTTTTTTTTTTTTTTTT